CTTTTATTCCAGCATGTTTTGAAAAGTAATTTTACGACATTTTTTGAAACTGCTTGGCGCACCGCCATCTTTATTTTGTTTTTCGTGGCTTTAAAAGCTCGCGCCATCATAAAACTCGTTCCCATTTCCCTCGCGGTAAAAATTAACTATATGGAGCTACCTTAAATACTTTAAAGTTTTACGAATAATGTATATCCTTTGAATTGTTGTGGGAGGATTCCCATTGTTTCAAAATGCTGGGAAAACCATGCTATAGTGCTAACATAGGTTTTAGAAGTTTTGACGGATTGCAAAGAAAAGGAGGAAAAGAGAAGAGGAAAAGAAAGGAAGAGAAGGTGCATGAAAGAAAAAAATGAAAATTTTCTGGGAGAGAAAATTATAAAATAATGAAATAAATGAGAGAATTCGTAAAGCTAYGTGTATCTTTTCGTGCAGGTTTGGTTCAAAAATCGAAGAGCGAAATATCGCAAAGCTAAAGAAGCACTTAGTCACTCATCGATCGGAGACAAAAACGAGGACGAAAACGCGATTGACAAGACCATACAAACACCACTTCCAGACAGCACAGTATCATCCCAGCCTCCACCTAAGGAGACAGAGTATATTTTCCTGGATAAAACCAAGGATTTCCTACGAGCTGCTCATGACCAGCCAATACGTCCCACGCCYATTCATACGAGTGCACCGATATATGGGTACCCATACACGACCATGGATCCCTGGGGGTTCTCGATGGACTGGCCTTATCATGGCAATAGAATCCTAGCGTATCACCAACAGACATCGTCTTACTGAAAATGCACTTTCGTCGCGCTTCGTAAAGAACTTTCATTCTTCCATACTTCCAAATGTTCTGAGGTTTTTTAAACCTGATATAGGGTACCCGAAATGTGGTGACACAGGGTGTAATTGAAGAGGATGCTTAAGATCGATGAAATGGTCTATTGCGGTATTGCACTGATTTGATCAGGAATATGTAGGTGTTTTCATTTAGCCTTGTTTATTCCTGTATGTTTTAATAGATGAAAACTGATTAGCCATTCCAAAGTTGAGAAAAAGACTGGGTCGAGTTGGCATTAAAGTGCATAGACCAAATTCAAAACTCGCACCGATGTGAGGCTTAAGTTGTGAACAAAGGAATCTGGCGTGACTCAAAGTAATTTGGGGTGATTCAAAAGTCACGAATCACGCCAGATTCCTTTGTTCACAACTTAAACCTCACATCGGTGCGAGTTTTGAATTTGGTCTATTGTAGGGCTGTTTTTACAAGATGGCATYTATTTCGTCCCCTAAAACAGTCCCACAATGCACTGCAAATCCAACTCGACCCAGTCTTTTACTCAAACTCGGAGAGACTAATAATATGAATGCTTTTAGGGAAAAGGTAGTTTACAATGCAAAGATTGAGTGATTCTTGAGTATAAGTTGTTCTTGGCATAAGATAATTATACTAAGGTTTCCAAATTATGGATGATTTCAGGAATTTGTACTATGAGGAAGCGGTTATGATTTAGGTAATAGGAAGTAGGGTAGGATAAATAGTTTCTGATGGACCAGCAATTTTTAGCAAGAAACACTTAGGTTGGTAGGTTAGTTTGAGTTCTCRCATCAAAAATATAATAGATTTCAAGGGGGGTCTACTAAAATGGCATCCTTTCAAAACTTATACTACCTCCACTCATAAATTATAGATGCTTACTAAGGGATTATGATGATATAAAGGTCACAGTAGTAACTTCTGCAGGAGACATTCAAATATAATAACTAGAGCATATATAGTTCTGAACAAATCCTAGACATGAAGAGATAAAGTAAGTCTCTGTGTAGTGTTGAGAGCCATTGCCTTATTTTTGTAGTTTATAATATAGCAAAAAATGTGTATTCTTGTTTGTAGATTTGGTATTTGTAAGCTTGTAACATTTGGTACTTTAGTAAGGAAAAGAAAAAGAAAATTTAAATATATTGAAAAGTATTTTATGTCACCTAATAAAATTTATTTGTATTTATTCAAATAACGACATTAGAAATTATATAGGGGAACAAAGGTGCACGCGAATAAAAAATTATGATTGAAGTTGATTTTAATTTCCCCCGATTTTATTTTCGCCTTTCACTTTTATCTAAATTGGGCTTCCTGTGGTTGCATTTCAAGGGCCTACATTAGTCCCTACATTAGTCCCTACATTACTAGTTTATGAGATAAAATTCTTCAAAATGAATATAATGAATTATGAAATTAAGAGCCAGCCTTACTACAAAGAAATTACTAAATAGTAATGGCAAAAATTTGGAGATTTAAAAAGTAAAAAAAAAACAGATTTAGAGATATGAATTGCACTCTAGCTTTTTTCTAGCTTCTTTCGACTATTTGAGTTCTAAAGCTAAATAAACATAATAATATAGTTACAAGTACTATAATTATTCATATTTAGGCCGATTACTTACCAGGAAGTTCTGTTTTTAAATATTTTCATTCCCACTACGGCAAGTCGCGTCAAAAATCAGTACACAACGAGCAAACTTAGCAAATATTTTTAAAATTTTAGGCTTTACAAACCTGTGTTGCGTTTAAATCCCTTCTTCACTTCTTAGTTCACTTTTCCTGATCCAGAATAAGGCGAAGTTGGTAAATAATTCTTTTCAAATTGAAGTTTTTTTTACAGCTGACTGCATGAATAATTTGGTCAACTTTGAATTTAAGTCTGAGCCCGCCGCGCGCCCGCGTTCCTTATGGTTCGACCACAGGTAGCCCAAGCTATTGATATATACTATATATTTTGGTCGTTCCTCTTACCAAGAGCCCACGTTATTCTTCCTCAGCACCGGAAAAAGAGAGGCTCTGGCTGTAAACCGACTTGACTTAGCTTCCGGTCCGTGAATCTCGGAATTCCGGCTAATTTTTTTTTCTTGTTTATAGTACACTCAACAAAATTACTCGACTCTGATTGGTCGAGAGGAGTACAATTATAGCGTTAATTGTACTCCGTAGGAGTACCGAATTGAGTCGCTATGGCAACACGGCCAAAACAATGTCAAAACAATTATTTTCTATCATTTTGTACTTAAAAACATATAGATAAAATTTTAAAGGCGTAAGAACTAATCTTTTTTATGCATTTCAGTTACGCGATGGACTGAAAATCGGCCGCCAAATAGACAAAAATTAACGGCGTCGCTTCGCATTTTTTACTGAAATTTTGATGGTGAACTATAAACAAAAAATAGCACGATCTTCTCGTACAATTTGGAATTAATAGACACTCGTAATGTTTTGAAAGTTCTTTAATTGCACTCGCCTAAAGGCTCGTGCAATTACAAGAACTTTCAAAACATTTCTCGTGTATATTAATTTCCAAAATTTACTCGAGATTGTGCGATTTCCTATACAAATACATTATTTTGAGGTGAAGAATAATCCTTGAATCTCGGAATAGGGGCTAATTTTTTTCTTGTAAATACATTATTTTAAGGTGAAGAATAATCTTCTTAACCCTTATAATATTTTYTGCACCTCTCAAGTAAATAGACAAAAAATTGTAAATATGTTGTTATAAAATGCTATCTGGGAAATAAAAAACCTTGAAGCCTCGTATATAGATAACCTAGCTCTTCCTTCTTGAAGGTCTTGAAGTGGATAAGGTATCTCGAGGAGCCAAGTAGTCAAAGTCCTTGAATAAGTAAACTGACAGTCACGTAGATCAGTTTATAGTAAGTTCTCCTTCACTCTTCAATTGATTGCACTCCTTAAACAACCGCCATGATATAGAATGATGAGGCAATAGTTCTCTTCCAAATTATACAACAAGGAACTATATCTAACGTTGATAGTTTTTTKAAGTTTAACTGTTATCAGTGAAAACCGACCGAGTATCGACGTCGGGCTTATTGTTCATTCAGTCATGCAGTATCTTGTAAAGGATTTCGGCAAATAAACGTATTGAACAGGTATTAAAATTTCACTATCTAGAAATGCAATCTTTGAAAAGAGCTGTTTTGAATAAATACAAGTGCTGTCCTTTCCCATTAATGATACACACGTGTTTGGGCATTCAAAGCTTTGACATAATGTACTGTTTACAGTCTATTGTACGCGAAATGCAGGATAACTTATCATCAGCCCTGCATATACAGAACTCCGATACAAGAGGCATCAGTTCATGGCCCACTTCTTGTTCGTTCATTGGCGATTGAAAGTATCAATCACCGTTAAATCTGAAGATCAAGTTAAAATTTCGATTATGTGTTTCTGCGTCTATACTCAAGAGTAGACGCAGAGATTTTATCGATGAACGGCACGAAAAACAACTTGACTAGCGCCTTGGAAAGAGCACTCTACTACTTGACTATGCCATTTGATAGAAGATTGCCTAATATTAGACTCTTGTTCGTTTATATGGCGTTTTTCAAAGATCTACTGTAGTGGGAAGAATTTGTTTTCGATTCTGAGTGTGCGCTGCTGAGCACCACATTTCTAGCAAACGGTAATTTACTCATGGCTTCTTCTTACAAACAACTAGGATTTAGTTTTATCTTATTTTGCGCCAGATATATATCTACTAGATCTAGCTCGCTATTTCCCTATGCAATTTTAAGGTGCAGAATAATCTTCTTATAACCCATTGGGTTCCGACCAAGGAGTGATCATGCATGCATGCCGCATTACTACTTATACCTTAGTCCACTGGGATTTAGCCGTAGAAAAACGAATACTCATAAACTCTAATGCTTAGTATTAGCCATCATCAAGTGACTGAATTTAACAAATCTCAAACACGGAACAGACTTTTACGCAGAACGTGGTAAAATCGTTATCACGTCAAGGTCGAACCTAATTCAAACAAGAGTTGAGATTAAGTCAACAAGCTGAAGTATTGTACTCCACTTTGCTATCGGCTTAGTTTATCGCATTTTCACAGTATGTTACAAGACCAATAAAAGTCAACAGTTTAAAAATAAACGTTCTCAATTTGGTGGATTTAGTTGTATTTCGGTGTTACGTTGACTCATGCATGATGATATGGGTTACAGATAAGTTAGCACCGGGCATTTCTTTTCAGTGAGCAATTAAACATATGTCGCATAATAATAATAGGAGGCGACACATGAATAAGAATCCAGTGATCTTCAGCTAACGTACAGAAAAACAGAACGGGACAATCCAAAGGTTTTAGTATATAAGTCCTTTGCGATGAGGGTTTTGTATGTACATTAGTTGACAACCAGTTTCGAGCCCTATAAAGTTTCTCATAAATGAGTGCAGGGATCATACGATAAAGAGGAATATGACAATTAGGGGGCARAGATTTTATTTGATTCCAGTTACTTGTTTACAAGCCGTAAAAAATTGCATAACAACAACAGCAAATAAAACAACACTGAGTACTCGTAGTATTTTGATGAATCATTTTAGGTGTGTTTTCGGACAATMTTTTTTCTCGATGTTTCACGACAAAACATACATTTGTGTCAATATTGTCACAGAACCACTTGGCGCTTTCTTTTTGTTCTTAATTTTGATAATTTGAATCATTTCTGAAATGCTTTTGTGTTTTACATGAGCTTCGTTGCTTTGTTCTTCACTTGCATTTATGAAAGTCTTCGGCAATTGCATTTTTAACTATTCGCTATTAATCATGGCATTATGTTTGGCCACGTTCCTATTCCATTTTTCTTTATGTACAACTCTTTGATAAGCTCAGTAACCAATGTAGAATTCAAATGCTGTCAAAAAGTAGTCTACATGGAGCCAAAGGTTTTCTTAAAGTTTACCGTGAGGTTGGCATTGAAGTAAAAACTTTGAGGAATTAAACTAGTAGTATATAGTCGTAGACTAGCTGAAAAGTGTCCGGCAAAAGGTTAACTCACTTGATGTCGAAGAAGCCTGAGGAAGGGACCTGAACTTTGATGAAACTGAAGAATATCATTTCGAATCTGACTAGCTAGCTAGATATGGGAGTGGCATCTCTAGTTTAAAGTTTGGACTATTTGTTTGATTACCTTAATGACCAARTAAAAGAAAGCAGTTTTATGCTCTTGAAAGGAGAAAATGTTGGTAGAACATTCTGGAAAAATAGAATCTCAATAATGAATCTAAGCAGATAAGAATTTTGGCAAATATTTTATGCAACCACTGTCTACCTTAGCTTGCRAATGTTATTCACCTCAGATTTGCTACCAAGCTAGAGAGGAATTTATCAAAAGTCAGTCGGCGTAACACTGAATGACTCCCATTCGGCCTCTTTACGGTGGTTGAGGGAATGTTTGCCTGAAGAWTGATAAAAACAACACATAAAACCTCTTGCGATACGTCAACTATTCATCCTAAGATTCCCCACATTCGTTGAAAACTAATTGTCTTCGCTATATGAGAATGTGTTGTTGGTCCTTGCAGGAGAGGTTTGGAGAAAGAAATCGCGCTCAAGAAATCTTATTTTCTGGAAAACTATTAAGCATCAATATTTCGTTGCCTTTTTTCGGTTCTTTCAAACGGGGCAAATAGCTGAAGAAATTTAAAGTTTAATTGATACCAGTTGATCGACAATCAACTTGAGATAAGCGATCTCATCTAGAATAAACACCCCTCACGTATTTAAAACTGCCTTTCAAGAAGAAGAATCAAAGCCTTTAACAGTGCATCCGACAAAACATTTAGGAAGGTCTTGAACTATATCACTTTAATTTAGAAAATCACTTTGAAAAAGTTAATRAAACAAGTTGTGTGAATTCCAAGCATTTTTTAGTTAGACGTTTAGTTGTAATATCAGACAATGTCTCGTCGCTTTATAGATAAATGAAAACTCATTTCCGTGAGAGAAAGACCTTTGAAACAGATCTTCAAGTATCGGAGATCCTATTTACAAAATCAACGAGAGGAAACGGCGATTTCCTCGTTTATTCCAGCAAATCCTCACATCATATCCTTAAAGAACGATTACCACTTTTCACTCCCTTTTGGCCACCTCATAAAAACTTAACTTGGTCAGTCCAAGAAAGGAAGAAAGATGATTTTTAAATTGTAGTTGGCAAAAACGTGCTGTCAATAAAATTATCGAGTAAATTAAAAAGTATTAATATGATAATTGTTTGTCTTAACAGACCGGATGCATTCAACGAGATAAACAGTTTAGTTTCCTATACAAGGCGTCGCGAGGCGCCGGGCTGATGTCGCCGGGGTTGTACGATACCTACTTCTCGATGTTGTAACTGCAAAAGCCGACTTGTCAAAGCATGGATTTTTAATAAATGCTTAGGACAAGTCTGTGAGTAAATTTAAGAAGCTAAAGTACTGTGTTGAGTCCTCAGTGTTCTTTTAGACGTGTTCAGGTCAAAATGGGGTTCTGGTGGGCGTTAAACGAACATGCGAGCAACAAAAACCTTTTGAACATTATCAGTTCATATCAAGAAAAAAAAGGGGTCTTGTGTTTGACAGGTGGAGAAGTGTGCGTACCTATTGTTTAGTAGAGTTTGTTYATTGCAGTGACACGAGCATAATGATTTGTCGTATTTTACGGTGACGTCAACTAAGATCAGAGGGGCATTCTAGATGCGACCTATTCATGTTGCACTTTTTCTGCCAATTTTCTATCCTATGCATCCTATGATTTTTGGATCCATGCAGTCGATTCAATGATATTTCCAAATCCTCGAGACACCCAAGTCATGACAACAAATTTGTCTTCCCATCCCCTCCACCCCAAGGGTTTCTTATCACTGATGGCCACTTTTACCTTTTTACGGTTTTGTTTTAATAGACGTAGCTAAATAAGATAAGCTCGAATGAAGTGGTTTCCGGTTTAGAGACATTTTCTTATCGTTGCTTTGTACGATGACCATRTGCAGAGCTATATTTCTTAAGCCTTAGAACAAATATATCTGCACTTAACACGAATCATGCTGCTGCCCTTTTGGGGGACCGTTTGTGATTCTATGTTATGACATCTCTAAATTGGCCTTTGGGTTCTAGGGTTCAGTAGCTCTGCACACCCTTTGGAGAAATATACTCACCGACTGCAAGTCAGTAAAAAGAGTTGACTTTCTTGAAACAATATGTGACAATGACGCGTCAATTGGGCAACAAGGAGATTAACTGCTCTCACACTATCCTTAAAAGAATCCCTCGTGAGTAAATGTGTGTGTAAACATTGCGCATTGATCCATACATGACCGAGCAACCTTTAAGTAAACAAATAATCGGTTTTAGTAGTATAAACAGATATAAGTGATGCAGGATATACCAACTAAACAGTTGATGACGTCTGGGGATACCGCAAAACAAATCGTTCCTCAAGCAGCTAGTTCAATAGAGTGACCTTAATGAAAAACAGATTACTAAGGTTCTAAGTGCAAAAATATGAGAAGCCCGCGTTATCAACATGTTCGAATCCCTAAGATAATCCCGCTTGTAATGAATTTGAAGCTGCGAACTTCTTGCTTCGGTTCCTGTGTTTTAACTGCGCGCAGATCTATTCTAAAGCCTATTTAAGCCTTGTAAGTTAAAGGGTACTGTTAAATGAAGTACTTAGCAGAATTGGCCCACCATCTGCGGAGAAAAACTCCGCACTTCATCATACCTTCCTAGAATTTTCTCCCTTACTCAATTAATACAAAATCGAGAATAGCAAACAAAAAATTAACATTGTCCTCGAACTCATGGCCAATAGATTAAAAACAAATAGCTTTAAAATCTCATTAGTTGATTTTGAGGTTTTAATGGTGTTGCCAGAACACATTTTTCACTGTCATGTGTGTTGTATTAATTACATTCACACATGGATGCGTTAACACGATTACCAAAGCAAGCGGGTGGGTTGCGATTACGTACGGGGTAACCCTCCGACTGACTTTATTAGGCACCACTCAATGCTCCTATCCTATCACAATACAACATCACAGCCTTATCGAGAGCTCTCGACGTAAAAGACTWGCACTTTCCTACATGTTTACTAGTTGAAGTCTATGCTTCTTGAAATATATGAAATGGAAACAAATCCTTTCTCGATTGAGAATATCCTAAAGAAAGATACTCAAGCGCCTAGATCACCTACAGCAAGCAGCGAARATGAGTCTCATGAGTCCCCAAAGGCGAATGCTGCGCTATCTTTAGCAGCAAAACTTGCAGGTAAGAAGTTCAAGTCACCTAGTTATTCTCTCTCAGTCTACTAAAACAAACAAACAGAAGGATAGTAGAGAAAGTCTGAAATAATTACACATTAAGCTTACTAATACGAAAATCGTTTTAAACTATAACCGGCTTGATGTTTTTGATTTATCTAGGATAATTTGTTTTGACTATTTGAAGGTTTTGCAGGACAAATATCCTTTTGTGCGTAAGAGGCACTGAGTTACGGACAGCGTGATGTATGTGTTGGATTGAGAGTCAATATCATTAGCCAATGCTGAAAACCTTGGCTAATTCCATAGTCACTATTGAGAGAACAATGTATTGAAAAGCATCCAATCCTACTGCACATGTTGTACCAGAGCATTCTTGGTGATAGATGATTTGCGATCAATTAACAGAGAATTAAAAAACTTAGACGCCCTCCGTGGAAAATGTCAACTTGGTTGCTAAAAAGGATCGGTAACCGTTTTGTAAACTTGGAACAAACTAGGAAAATAAAATGAATTGATATCTTGCAGTTCCCTTTACTGAAGGCATTTGCAACATTTTGCTGATTTTCAGCTTGGGTTTTCCTGCACCACCAACTTGCCACGCTCTGCATTTAATTGAGTCGCAACAAGGTGAAAAATTAAACACCTCGGTTTATTCATTCAATCTGAGTTTCCTATAATCAAGTCTGGGCTATTTTTTCTATAGTTTTGAGAAGGTCAGTCAACTACACATGACTTATAAAGGGTTTGCTACYGTTTATTTCAAGTACCTTGGCACAGGAAATCTCAATGAATACCTCATGAAAGAAAAAGGYCTTGTAGGATGTAGTTCAAAATAGAATGCTTTCCAATTACAAACACGAGAGCAATAAAGTACCTAATGAGGGTTATCAACTCTTTATGGCGTTTCCTTCATGGGTTTGAATCAAATACACTGTAAATCGAGTCCGCGTAAAAGCAAGTGGCGCCAGAAGAGATCGTATCTCGGTTTGGTTTGCAGTTAGGCGCCTTSAAAGAACGTCAGAAATCTTTCCAAAACTGCGAGTATTCAAAACTAAACCCTATGTGTTTTCAATTGAAGTTTAAGCAGGAGTCTAAGAAGCTAAGTCCCTTTGATGCGGGTTAGTTTATATTAGCTAARTCGTTCTAATCCTCTCGTCAGCTATTTAACAGACCGCTTGGACTTTATCTGGCAAGATCGCGTGCTGATCGACTTTGCCTTTTCATGATTCGGTGAAACAGGGCCAAAATGTTCTATACGGTGATGGATTGCTCAACTAATTCGCGGCTGGTAAGAATACTTTAAGATATACGAATACCACATAACATTGAACAGATCCTATTGAAAAGTTCATGTAATCAAATTTGTCCGCGATTGAACCTCATATCAGACCCCTAAAAAAGTCATTAAATTCAATCTCACAGGAATGCTCAGTTTCTGCGTCTTTCATATGCACCTTGCGAGATTTTCGTGAAATACTTTTGAATTCTACTGACACATCAAAGGAATTTGCCTTGTGTACCTAAGATTATRAAGGCATTTTATACACTTGGCTCTYAAGAAATGAATAACTAATTCTGTRTTGAGATTAAGTGTTTATAAACACKGCGTATTGGAACAAGTGTGACAGATCATCATTAAAGAGATCAACGTTATACCCTTGTAGATCCACTACGAATCAAGCGGCGCAAAGTCAGCTACAACAGATAATCTTGCATAACAAACGCGCTACTTATCAGGAGTTCTTCCTGATAATCTGTTCGCCTTTGCTACAAATCTCAAAGGTGGACATGTCCACAAGTAAAGCACACGGCAATTTCTTCTCCTCAAAGATAACCCTTTGTCCAAGACTCCAACARCATGGCCAATTCCGTTTACTTTGCTCCATATTCACAACATTACTTTTTCTACTAATGTCGATATTGTTAAGGACTATAATTAAGATTTCATGGCATCTTTATCGTATTTAAGGTTTARCCAAGAGGTGACCGGCTGGACCGTGCGAGCTACCATATCCTCATTAAACTCAGAGACACACGCAGTGTTCCTTAGACAGGTCATTAATTATTTCTTGTAGCGGCAAAGAAACCGATAGAAAGCTGATACATGCATCGTGCATAAGAATTTCCATTGAAATGGTTCCTCTGGCTATATGCGAAGTTATCTGGTGCAAGGAATTCTCCACGAGTTTCACCTTTTGAGAAAGTTTGGCCCTTTTGATAATAATGAACACAATTGAGAAAAAATACAGTGTCTGTTAAATTACAATGGTAAAAATAAGGATATTTTATAATATATGTTTATGTATACTTAAGAAATTAATAACACTAAAGATATATAATGTGTGTATAATTAAAAGTTAACTATAAAATGTAAAAAATGCTCTGTATGAGTTCTGCTCAAAAAGATAGTAGTTTCAAAGTTCTTGGGATAAAATAATTTTTGTGTCTGTTAGTTTTTGAGACAGTTAGAAAGTTTTCTGTTTCTTAGGGTAAAGTTATGTGTAGACTGTTCAGGGAATAGACGTGTTAAGCTATTACTTTCTTTTAAACGTTCTAGTTCTTTAATGGCTTGTGTATCTCTTCTGTGTACTACTGTTTCCAGAGTGTCTTTAGTAAGGCCAAAAATTCTTAGACATCTTTCCTGAACTCTTTCAATCTCTCTTTTCGTCTAAAACTGAAATCTCGAAGTTAAGAGATATGCCTAGCCCTGATGCATAGCGTCCTATGCGTTTCAACTATGCAAGTTATCGACTTTATCCACTGAATTTGTCGTAGGCATTTGGATTATTCATCATCGGTTTCTTTTGTAATTCATAAGCTAGTGCGAACTGTTTGCTCCTTTGCAGACCGCGACAGCTGAACATTTTTTAAGTTGTTTGACTGTCGGAGAAGAAAAAGGTATATTATAAACTAGGGTTACTTTATATCATTGAATAGCAAATGGCACAGTTACGGGCCTTGTGGTTTGGAAAAGAGGCACAGGCCTACATTTACAGACAAAAGGAATGTTTTGAAAAGCTTTGAGGAGTAGCAGCGTCGTAGACAGATAAATTAAATAATTAAACTTGGAGAGGAATTGATTCAGTTGCATAACTGTGCAACCGAAATAAACCATATTTTCACCATCCCAAGGACAGACATGAAAGTGGTTGAGATAAGTTGCAAATGTAACTTTGTCTTTTATGCTAATATTTCGAGGGGAAAGAGTATGCAGCGGGTAGTTCTTTTGTAGATTAATGTGTTGGTTTATTGAATACTTCTCAGTTATAGTGGAAATAATGGATGCYTTATTCATCAAACACAGGATGACTTTGTTGTAGTAACATATTCACTTTTCCCAGTAATGACCGCAGCAAAAATCAATTCACCAAATTTTCGCTTTATCTCAGTTTGCCGGTTTTTTCACAACACAAGGTAATGATAGTCATGCTTGCCACCCGGTATAGCACAAGGAAAATCAGTCAGTGTTCTTGGACTATGTCAGATTGATATATGAGGTGTTGAACGCTGCTTGTCGTATAGTTCTTTAAACTCTTCGATTACCATTTGACGCCATGCTGTTACGAAGCCTGTATTTCCTTTTGATTTAGCAGCCGTTGATCGCGCCTGAGGCTGTTTCTATAATCACTKCTTAAAATACACAAGCACTTTATCTGGTGATCCTTCACACGGGATTAGCATTCGCAGCTAACTAGAAAAGACATGGCAGGAGCCAGCACGGGACTGACTTCCACGAGCCACCCACACCATTCATACACAATCGTCCAGTGATGCTCTTACCTTTCTACTCRGGGATAGCATAGGGATTTTTTAGAGGAAAATACCCTATAAATGCAGTTTCGTTTACTCTTTGTGTAAATTAAAGGACAGAAATAAAATATACAGCCGCCATTACAGCAAAAAGGACTTCATTTGAGACTTAATAGCACAAGGTTGAGAAGTAGAGTCATCGGACAGAGAATTGACAAAAGTAAAGAAAACAACCCATCATTTGAAAGCAACTTAGAAAGCAAATAGAATCTTCATATCTTATGCAAAATTCAATTTATTAAAGAGTAAAAACATTTCATTTTAAATGGCAATGCATGCGTACATGGATCAGGAGTGACTTCGTGCAGTTGAAAGCAAAGAAAGGTCTTACTTTCATTCACAATTTGAAAATCGTTCTGGCAGTAAATCGTAGAGGAGGGTTTGATTACTTTAAAGACTGAGATTGTTTTCATTTCTAGATGTGATTCTCGAAGCCCGTAAGGAGAAGAGTAAAAGAGGCAGTCGGCGCACGCGCACTGCTTTCACACATCAGCAACTCGCAGCACTTGAAAAAGTCTTCAATAAAACACATTACCCGGATGTTGAAGTGAGAGAACAACTTGCTGCAACTACCACATTACAAGAAGCAAGAATACAGGTTAGTTGAATCGAAGAAATAACTTTGGCTCGTACAGATATGATGACTACTTTATCCAGATAAATTCTGTATTAAAAACCTCTAGTGCGCTTATAAGGGTAAGAAATTAAGAACAAAAATCTCATTGCAATTTTTTGATCGAGTTCTAGATGCTAGTCAATATTCTCTAGTTTGATATCAACAAAGGTTGAGTTGTGAGAATTAAAGCTGTTTCAAGGTGGTGTAGCGCCGGTAGAACATTTGCCCTGTAAATTGGCCATGCCCTGACTTACATCAGCCCCGAGGTTGTTTCAGGGTTCAATCGTGTGACTAGCCGTGTCCTGGGGTTGTTTCAGGGTGTCAATATAAGTTCAAAGATTTCGTTCATTTTTCAGGTGTGGTTTAAAAACAGAAGAGCAAAATTCCGCAAAGATCAGAGAAGACATATTGCCTCRGAACGAGAGCACCGCAACAGTATTGCAAGTGAAGACGACCTTACTTACATAACACCCATGTATTACCAGGCCCCTCACGGACACATGGCTCACACGCCTATTCCACATTACTGGACTCCCAACGTACACACTGAATGGACCCCTGAAACTTCGATGTTATCGGTCAGCGGCACTTACTATGGACATCATGCGCACGCACCGATAAGTTCTACGCCTGTACCTACGAACACTATACATGTACCGGAAGTCAGTTACGGGAATCTTGTCTTACAGCGTGCGCATGCGCACAGAGAGGAAATGTGGAACAGTTACCCAACAATGTTTTGAATCAGATAATTATTATATCTCTCCTAGTTGTCAGYATTTTCGAATCGCTTATGTTTGTTGTTTAACCGATAAGTTTTCCATTTGGTATACATTTGATTCATTTGATAACAGGATAGCCTTGTAACAACCGCGTACCGCCTCACTAACTCGCCCCAGTCTTCGCTTTTTTTCTCCCTAATTCTTTAAATCTGTGCTGACTCTCAAAGTGCTACTTGTGTCAAAGCACGATCTCTGMGAAGCGGAACGAAAAATATACGTTTGTCGCGGCTGAACAGGACGCGGAGCTAAAATCCGTGCTAGTATTCTCCTCCCTTGGATCGTTGTTCCTTTAATCAATCTGTGTGTATCGCCGTGTAAAATTATTAAGTATAAATATATTTTATCTTATTAAGGATAATATAGCAACGTCGAGCGTTGCTCAGTCTTAACTCAAATACTGTGAGCTTGATAAACGAAGGTAAACCACGAAAAAAATAATAAAAGCTAAATATCTTCAGGCTCTTTTTTCACGACTGCGTCTTTCTTGAAATATGGTTTTACAGTGCGGACACGATAACTGGGACCATTTTTACAAAGTTAACTGATCACGATGTAGAGTAAAAACAAAGCAATCGAAGTTAAGTCAAACCTAAACCAATSAGGATCATCCTACGACGTTTACAAGAAGATGTTTACAAGAACTGTGGTATTGAGAGATTGGCTGAAGGTCAATATAATACAGGCTTTTCTCTTTCCTGATTGGCTATAGTTTTCACTCTTAATAGTGATTGTCTTTGTAAAAGTAGTTCCGGTTAGTTTTTTCCTCGCACTGTAAATATATCATGGAATATCAGATGATACAATTTAAAAAATAAATAGTCAAATGATTAGTATATTTGATTCTTCAAAATTCTTAGAAACATAAACTAAGATCGACAAAAATTCAATTCCCAATGTATGCGTAATGTTAGCAATCGTCAAAGCCAACTCCTGGCATAAGGTGATAGATACAATAATCTTGAACACACTGGGTAATCTCTTGGACATATTTGCCTGTAACTCTACGACACTTTAAGCTCTTAATACCGCTTTAAATCCTGACATATTCATTTAAGAGCATAAACTGAGTATTATCCCAGAATGCTAGCGTCCCGTTCCTTCTTGAAGAGTAGGATTAAATATAGATTTCTACGCCGCTAATTCTTTAATCGCATTTCACTTTAGATGCAGCACAAYATCTTAAACTGGTTGTTTGTCAATTTGAAAATCCGGCTAGAACTTGTCTATGGCTCRAGCAGTTACCCTTTAGAAGGGAATACAGCGAGAATAACCTGTCACGRTGCGCTGCTACAAGATGCTTGTCTGAGACATTTCTTGATGCAAATCGCAACAGATGATYCCTAAATTCTGGAATCCAAAGGTAAATCTAGTTTCGTTTGCTTCATCGTACTTCCAGGTTATAAAAATAAGATAAATCAATTATTCGGCAGTTCAAAGGCGCATTTAATAAGTGTTGTTTTAGGAGATACAAGATTGTATAGAAAGTACACATTGTTTGATATTTGATAGCGATTCGATATTGGCAAAAGAAGAGGATGAGGTACGAACAGGAACATGTTGATTAAATCAAAATGGGAAGTCGAAAAAAGCATCAAATTCGCATTAAAACAAGAGTGAAACATGCATGTCTTAATCTAAATTTTCTATATCATCTTTCTTCTCCTTTCCAAACTCGTTTAGCGTTTTGAAAAACGAAAAACGGATTTTGACTTTTTTCGTCGACTTTTCTTATCCGCATTACTAAATCTACATCTACACAACAAAAATACAAAAGCTTTAGCTTCTTATTTTATCAGCGTTATAAGATGGTTTTTTTCAAGTGTCTTGGAATAACAACATCCCACACAAAGAGATTACCACAAGTATACTCTAACTTCATCACCCACATAACTGTTTACATTATTTCCAGTTATCGATAGAGTATCTAAATCTGGTTCACGTTAAATCAAACAAACCGATGCTCAATACCATACCTGTCCTCTCTGATTAAAAGCCTTCCCGACATTGAGATCTTATCGATGTTATAGCTTCTTGAAAGRACTGAACGATGGCTTGGCATCTTCTAATAAATCACTCATAACATAAAGTATGGACGTTATCAAGCTAAAGTTCACGCACTTATGATTTGCTTAACTTATTTAAGTCCCAAAAAGCTGTTTTTTGAATTTCAAACAGTAGGAATAATAGCCAGGTTTAGAGTCCTTAATAAGCCCAGCAGAAACATAATCAGAAACAAATTCCCCGGAGTCAAGACGGAAAGATAGCATCAACTCATCTCTCACTAACTTGGGTAAGGTTCTCCTTCGAAATGGCGCCAACCTTACGTGTCGTGGTTATCTCTACAGTAAGCGGTATGTTTGTCTCTCGTGTCAGTGATATCTTACCAAACATTTGCTCTCGGTCAACAATCTAAACCGTTTATATTAGTTTGTTCCCTGATCTATTTAAGGGCTGTGCACTGTTTCATATTTTTAATAAGAAGTGTAATAATAAGTCCAGGATAAGCGGACAATAAAAGACGATGGTCGAAAGATGTCTGGGCACCTGACAGTAAGTAACAGTACAAGCTCTGAGCTATATTTGGCTGGCTTATCTCTTTCGAGATTTGATTTAATAGTATCGCGTTTAGAGCATTTTCACTATTATTAAGGTATCATTTTAGTTGACAGAATTACAGCCTCGTATCGGGACTCCGGTGAAGAAAAATCCCCGGTATAGTGCCATTGTTACTGCTTTTTCAACAACAAAAAATCCTGAACAGATCCACCTAAACCCTGCAGACACATGTAAAATAAATCATTCCTCATRAATAATGTAACTCGAATGAATATTTTTTTTGCAAAAGTGTAAGAAACGTAACACGAGCACCGTTAATGCGAGGACTCTTATTGAACGATGCTATTCTACAACTTTCATCGTTCTCCATTTTGAAGAACCTGCCATCGCTAGTTTGATTGGGCGTAATATCCGTGCGTGGTAAACTACTTATCACGTGACTAAAAGTACCAATGGTCTTACAGCTGATAAGTACTTTACACAGAGAAATAACAGACTGTATGTATTCTTTAAATAGTGCTGACGTATCACTCGAGAATGGAGCTTAACTAGAACACTTCCTCAGTCAGTAAAGTGACCTCTTGGCTACCTTATGAGCAAAAATCGGTTTGAACAACAAAATACCCAGAATTGTTGGTTGTTAACACCAGTTTATAGCTTAATATTGTAATTATAAATTTTGAATTTCTTTGGTGGATGTACCAGGAATTTGTTGAGTAAAAGTCTCTAGGAATCACAATGTTTTCACTTGTTATCAAGTCTCAATAAATCATTCACTAAAATAGTCTAGATCTAGTGTCAGTCTTACACAACTGGGCCAGTTAGAATATCCTATTGAGAGTGGGGGGGGGGGGGGGGGGGGGAAGTAAAAAANGGGGGGGGGGGGGGGGGGGGGGGGGGGATGTAAGGAATAAGAGATATAAGAGTTGGTGAGGCTTAGAAGCGCAGATACGCATTAAAAAAAATGAGACGATGCAGTGCTAGTCACATCTACTTTTTATCGTTTTAGATCTAAAAATCACTTGCTCCTGATCTAAGTATAAAATATGGAATGTAGCGCTGACTCTAGAATGACAACTACTCATCTCCACTTCCAGCCTTCACTCTAAACCACCAAGCGTGTGTCACTGTCACTGCAATATTTCTCAGACAGTGTCATTTATAGACTTGTAGCTCTAAGATTTATCTTTATATGGAAACCACAAAAACACCAAGACATAAATACTACCGGATGAAAATAAAGACTAGTAATCCATAAGATGCTTAGTTTTCTTAAGCCTATTGGTCTTACTAATGTCCCAAGTATCAGAGCTGAATTATGAGAATTAACGTTGAGTAAAGAGGAGATGAGGTGCAATGTGTTGGAAGGAGTAAAAGATAATGAATTCTGGGCTTATAGTTGTTAGCCATTCTTGATCGGACTGACGTGGGAGTAGCTGAAGGCTGTGTGAGCATCTAGAACTGGAAAGTCCAAGCATGTGCAGTGGATGTACTATTTTGGCTCAAGTTTACACTGAAGGTGATTAGGGATAGGGATAAGTGCAGTCTATGAGCTGTTTCTTGAGAAGATAATGCAAGGGATAGATTATGCTTTTCTGGCATAATAGCATCTTATTATTTTGAAAATTAAAGAATTCAATAAAGTGACGACTGTAGACAGATAAGAAGATAATATTTATGATGATGATATGATGACAGTGGTGTTGATAATGAGTATATGGTAAAAGGTGATGATGATGATACATCATGATCAGTGATGATGATGATGATACATCAGTGATTATGACGATCTGATACATCAGTGATGATGATGATGATACATCAGTGATGATAATGATGATACATCAGTGATGATAATGATGATACATCAGTGATGAT